TGAGTTTTGTTTATTTTTAGGTATTTTATCAAATATGCTTTAGAAATTAATATACTGTGCATGGATGTCAACTGTTTCTCCTTTTTTCCCCCCACAGCGTGATCCAGACTGTGCTGGTCATCACAGCAGTTACATCTTGGCTCTTGTGAGTTTAGTTATGTTTTAAGTGTTCGGCAAAGTACACCTTCATTAAAGTATATATGGATACCTTATTATAAGTTAATATCTAATGTAAATATTTCAATGGAACGAGTCTGAAATTTAGCGCATTCAAGCTGTAAGAAAACATTGACTGTCAGATTGACCATAAGATTTTAGCAATCTAAGCAATATTACTTATACCAGCCTTTTGTTTACTCCAGTTGGTTGCTGTGTTATTTGCACCAAATGAATCCTCTCATAGGACCGCAGTTACACAACACAACTATTCTGGCCATTCGGTACCTTTGGGTAAGTCAGCTGGTTTTCTGCTGAGTAATGTAATATGTTAATATATTTTCAATCTTCTGCATTAAGACAAACTGCTTTGTGAAGTCATGTGATATTTGGTGGGTAAAATTGGCAGATTTATATAAAAGTTGACTTTGGAGCATATATCGAGGGTGAAAAAATTATGATATAAACATCTCAAAATAGGCTCATAAGTTTGCTTTGTGGAACTAGCTTGACTCTTACATTGCAGGATGGGACTCTGAGCCTTGATGACTTCAATGAAACAACAACAACAAACACCATGGAGACAACAACAGCAGCAGCAATCTAATTGCCAAAACACAGGGAAGAAGCTGATAACCCCCCCATAACTCCACCATTAGGAAATCATCAAGCTGGGAATCCAGTAGCGATTCTCTCTTTAGTCTAGGATTGCTCTTCCAATTCTCCCGTCTTTCAAATCTGGCTCGTGATCATTTTACCAGCTCAAGGATCCACCTGCTCTTTCTCCATTGTCCCTCTTAGTGCTAAGATATGTAAATGCTATTTATATCATTACTTAAAAGAGTGCAAGGTGATGTGTTGCTGTGAGATGGAGGCCTTAAGATATATGTGTAGTCTTGTGTGTACATATTGAAAGAGAGTCACAAAATTCCCTTTTTAAGTAGATGCCTCTATTGAATTTTTTTTTTTTATGCTATCCACTCTTAATCCTGAAAATTCAAAACCTGTTATCCTCTCTTGGCTTTTCCTTTTTCTTGACTCTCGGGCATGTCCATTTGTTAATATTGATGTATATACATATAATTTTAGATGGTGCTTCATAAACAGCATTTATTAAAGAGTATCTCCTCATCAGCTAGTTTTCAGTCTCTCTTGTGTCTGTATGTAAGTAAATACAACACACCATGATTCTGTTTTAAATTTTAAAATAGCATGATAAAGAGATATATAATGCACAACATTCCAGTTATGGCAAGTTGCTTATTTGAAGAATATATTTTGTAAAATGGTATTGGTGTTTTAGTCTTGTTCATACTTGTAAAATATATGATGAGATATTAAGTGTATTCCTTTCTTTAACCTTATAGATGTTTTTTCTCTCTATCTTGTATTTTGAATTATGTATATATTTAATACATCTTGGGAGGCATTTCATGCTAAGGACACGTAATGATTTAACACTACCAAATAGCCCCGTAAAATAACTTTTAATTGGATGACTTACAACTGGTACATAGCAGTAGTACCTAAGAAAGATAATTTTCCTTTGTGTTAACCAAAGCACCCCTACAATTGAGGATGTCCACTTGCACTGCTAAAGTGGAGAGTATGGAAGAGTATATACAACACTTAAAGTATTCTAATAACAATAATATTCATATATGTTGTTTCAAATACAAGATTTGAAAAAGATATAGGATATGACTTTAACAGTATTACAGATTCCTCCAGAATCATAATCCAACCAAAGGTACACAGTTATCAATTACATTGCATCGTCATCCATTAAGGAACAAATTCAAATATATATGTAAATACACTTTACAAGTTGTAATAGGTGAAAAAAATTAGTTCCAGAATTTGAATATGTGGCTAGAATTTGCAATTCCAAGTCATATAAACATTGCTTACTTTAGAAACTTATTCAATTCAAAGGCTACTCATGTAGAAACACTTTCAGGAAAGTCTAACTTAAGGTGTAACCATATTTTCTTGTTTTCTATAATGACACTGAAACAAAAAAATAAAAAAAATAAAAGTAAAAATGGTTTCAAACAAATAATATTTAGAACCTGGTAGGCTATCATTTCTTCCCCACTTGGAATAACCCATTAACAAATGAATGCATAGAAATCTAAGTACAAATTCACCTGTGAGAACTACTTTTCATAGCCCATAAACCCCTAAACTTGTATATGTCAGACTTCTTTGTCCCACCCTGCACTGATAAATAACAGGTATGGTTGAAATAAATGCATGTCAAAATTAAGGCTTTGGTGTGTGAAGTTCTCAGACACAGAAATGGTGGCAGGATAGAATAGGGCGAACATAGCCCAAGGTCAGTCAACCACATGTCTGCAGACATGCCCCATGTATTTTAAAAATCTAATTTTTCTCACAGCAGATATCAGTTTCACAATCATATGTGTTACCACAGAAATCAAATTAAAAAGGCAACTGAAACTGAGACATATTACACATTCTGTTGTTTTTAACAGTTAAAATCCATTTTCTAAAACAGGCTCTTTTAGGTAACCACTAAACATAAATTTGCTACCACGTATGAAATCTTAACGTATCACGACTCCTGCTTATACTTATAATATAATTTCCTTAAATTTCATGGCTGCTGCAAATATCCTAAATAATTTTCCTAAATACATATACTGATTTTTAAAAAACATTTAATAGCACTTTTTTCTCCATTATTATTTATTCTTAAATGGGGTAATCATACAAGTTTTGGGAGTCTTGATTAATATCAATAACAATACAAAGTACAAGATATCTGCTTACATCTAAAATGACACTTCTGTAATAAACAGAGTCAACAACTTAGTGAGGAAAATTAATGAAATAAAATTTTGGGGGCTTCACAGCACATGAAGACGTATATTCATTTTTTTCCTTAATATCACGTTTTGTAAAATTATGTTTTGTATATTTTGTACTGTTGAAATCAACCCCAGAATAGTGTTGACTTTAATACAGTAGATACAATATTTACTTCGCAAGTAACAGCAAGAAACTCTGCCATTTCTAAAGACAAATAGGATAGTGTATATATGACTTTTTCCCTCCATTTTTATAGTAGTAGATGTACATGATTCATGGTATCCTCAAAACTGCAACACTCGAAATCATTTATAAAACCATCCAAGAAGAAATATAGAATAAAAATGGGTAAGAGAAGCTGAAGAAATGAGCAAGAAAACAGCAAAGAACAATTTATAATATACACCAATAACAAAAAAAAAAAGTCATGAGATGTGAAGTTCTGTCCATACTTTTACACTTAGTGAATCCTACAATATCAAATTTATGTAATTATTATTCCTGAATTATGTAACTGCTAGGAAAAGCTCAATTCATTAACAGTAGTACCTGTTAAAAAATCTGTGGCAGCAAGAAACCAACAGAACTATTAATATTTTCTCATGGTTTTGCACACTTCCCTTTTTATATTCTGGGTCCAATACCCTCAGTGCTGAGAGTCTGTAGCAATTGGCACTTTTTTGGTATATAAATTAAAACCATCTGGTGACAGGTGAAGAGCTACCACAACATGGCAAATAATCCTAGGAGCCAGGTGATGTCTCACCTTGTCATTGATTGCTGTAATGAGGTCTCTCACTCTACTAGAAAGACAAATAACTATCAAAGAATGTGTGATTATTGTTCTTGCAAGACTTTTTTTTTTTTTTTTTTTTTACCTGTCATTAATGGGTTAAAATCAGTGGACAATTTTTAGTCTAAAAATACCTACTGTACTCCTCAGCTCTGCGCATCATCCCCTAGAATGGCAAGAGGGACACTACCTAAACCTTTACAAAAGAACCAAGATCTGCATGATGTAAATGTGTTTGTATTCTTTTAAACATCCAACTGTTGCAATACACCCTAAACTGTAGCATGTATGTACATTTTATATAAAAAAGTGGCATTTAAATTTTTTGTCATATAAAGCTGTCTCCTTGCATGCCAAAAAAGAAAACTTTCATAAAAAATATACATATAATATTTACACCAACTACAAACTTTTGTTCAACCTAAATACAAGAATTCTGGACAGTAAAGCCTTAAAAAAACTAACCTACATCTAGGTGATTACAAATCCTATCAAGTGCAATAGAATAAAAAAAAAAATTAGAAAAATACCTTCATTCTCTAGCATTCACATTCCATAAAACTTCCTTTCCTTTTCTTTACATCTTCTCAAGACATAAAATCATACTATGCACTAAATTCATCTTTTAAAACCAAAGCCTCAAGCCTTTTATCAAATAAAAAAAAAGTAAAGAAATAAAACATCCACAAAGCTACATAAAATTTTCACTTGTTCTTGTGTAATGGACGAACCCTTAATTTCTGTCTCGGAAGGGTTTTCTCCAATTCCAAGAAACGTCGTGTCACTCTCTTGTCATGGGAGCTGACTGTGGCAGGCAGAGAATTACGTTCCTTCTTTCTCTTTGTCTCACTCTGAGATGTGGTGCTGGAAGGGGTCTGGGTGAAGTTCATGCTGTTTCTTTTCCTTGGGGACAGTCTTCGTTCATTTTCTGGGATGAAAGTCACAGGTGTTCTTGATATGTTCTCCTTATCAATTTCTGGACTGATTGGTCCTGACTGATCACTTGCCACCAAGGAATTCACTGCTGTTGGAGGTGCTGCTATTTCTTCACCAGTTTGATTATTATCAAAGTTATTTTCATTTCCTATTTCTATACTGTCATTTACTTTCCTTTCCTCTGTTTCCTGTTCTTCTGCTATCTTAGCAGTTATTTCCACATCACTCTCTACTTCTTTGTCCCTGGAGATTAGCAAGGGTAGTTCATCATCTGACTCCACATGACCCTCTACACTGTCGTCTACATGCATGTCTGTACTTACTTCTCTTTCCTGCTTACTTCCTCTATCCCCTTTTATTCCTCTTTCTCCTATTCCCTTTTCACCAAAAAAACTATCATCTAATTTCCTCCTCTTTATCCTTTTCCCTTCATCCACATTCTCCTCCACACTCATAACCTGTGGAGTCAACACCTTATTCCCCTCTGGTTCAGAATACAGTTTTCGTTTCTTTTCAAAAACACTTCCTTCTAAGAGGGGGATTTCAGGCGAGTAGGCCCTTTCTTTCTCTTCAGTCAGTGGAAGTTTGAAGCGACCGTTGTCACTATTGCTCGCGTGTCCAACAGATGTGCTTGTTTGTTCTTCTCCATCCCTTCTTCCACTAACATTTCTTTCTTTTTCACTCTCACTCCTCTCCCTTGACACCTCCTCCTTTTGTTCTCTAGGGACCTCTGACTCTGATACACTACTCGTCGCACTGCGCTTCTTGGTCCGAGGGCTCAATCGGATTTTGGCGAACTTGTATACCGAGGCATCTGGTTGATGCCTGTGAGTAATCTTTTGATTCTTGGAGCGATCTGCAAAATGAAATTGTTTTTACTTTCCTTATAAGGCTTATTTTAAGGCAAATGTGAAAAAACACACCAATTCAAGTATTTCTGCTTATCAAAGATAGATCAGCTGTTTTCTTTTTATCTAAATAAGACACTAGACATGTCATAAAAAAAACCTATATGACCATTTACATCCAATTCTATTCAGTCTTTTTCAAGTCTGACTAATATTGCTTACACTAATCATATAGCTTTGCAAGCAATCACCTGCATATCCATATATAATTTTTGGCTTATCTCAATTGTACAAAGTTTTTCTCAAACTTTCATCTAATACTCTTATTGACGGGCACAGCTATAGATGTCATGGAAATCCTACCCTTCATGACACGAAACATTCACGTCATGTCTTGCCCTAGGGAGCGAGTAGACACCCCAGCTGTACACAGCAAATGCCCTGCCAGAAAGGCTAGACAGATGCCAGTAGTTACCGGAGTGAGTGATACATAGAAAATTCAGGCCCCGTCAGTGTAGGGTTGATATATGGATAATGGAACACACACCAGGAAAGAGTAATTTTATTAAGACAAAGACCCAAAAGGGGAAAAAAAATATGTTTATTTTTCTCTGCATGACTTCCTCCTATGAACTAGAACAAGCCTAAAAGCACATCCACTGATGTTTTGACAAAAAGAAACAATAATCATCATAACAATAGTAATAATACCTACATTTCCAAATAATTACAATAGCAGAAATAATACAGTTATCAAAATCATAATCATACCAAGGAAAAAATAATAACAAAAATAATCATAATATAATGATAATTACAGCCTTCATAATAATAGAAATAGTACAATATAAATTAACTGTTACAGTAATGATGGCAGGAAAACAATACTTCCAATAATTATAAAAAAATATTCAACGGATTTACAAAAGCGAAAGTTCCATCAATGCCCGCTCTACTCACTCCCATATTTCTCGAACTTGAGGATCTCATCATCCGAGAGGTTAAAGCTGTGAAGGTGCTTGACGATGCTCATGCGGAACCGCTCCTTGAGGCTGAGCCAGGACCGACCTTTCAATCCCCCCTCACATGTTGCCATCAGCGTCCACAAGCTCTTACCTCCCACCTGGTTGGAAAGAATTTTCAGTCACTATGTATGGAAAAAAATATCATTATAATTACGGTACATTACTGATGTAGTGCAGTGACTGACTCTAAGTGTCTGCCACTGCCTATGTGACTTCATTGCTCCGGCAAGGGCCAACTCCTTCATCGTATACATTTTGACAGCATAGAGCCTGGCCTCATTGCTTATCATAAATTGCCTGGTACGTCTATAAGTTCTACCCTGTCAGAATATATATGGTAAAGGCTTGCTAGCTTTCTGTCACAGCACCGAAGCTGTAGAGGTTAAGAAACAATTTTGCATGAGTCACCTGAAAGCATATCCCATCCATGGCAGG